TAAAGGTATTGCCCTCACCTGAAAATATACACTGTGCCCACTTCTCCAAATCTATTCTTCAGAGTATAGTTCAAACACTATCCTCCCAATAAGTCAACTTCATCTGCCTTGAGGAAAGAACATCTCCTTCCTTTGACACGTATGAAGCCTATTTGTAATACCCAAGCAATACATCTCAAGGAAGTGGGGCAAGGAAAGGATCAGCATTCCCTTCAAAGACATCACTCCCAACCTACGAAATCAGAATACTGATAAGGAGGAACAAAACAGAGCATTTTTTAAAATTTTAATTTGCTCTAGGGCATATCCACTTGCTAGAGAAAGACAGAAAATGAGAAATTGCCCCGTCCTTCCTCTCAGGAGGATGGCCATGCCACAATCCCTTCTCCTCCTTTCTCCTCTCAGAACTTTTAAGCAAGCATGCAAAATGTACCCAAGTGTTTTTCAAGCCACTAGGTCCAAAACTCAAACTGGGTAGTGGACCCTGTGAGATTCACCCTCCGTAACCACCATGCCACCTGCTGGCCCAGGCACATGTATTTTGAAAAAGTTCCTCTGAGGTTTCTGATATGCCACCTGCCCTAGTAGGTAACCACTGTTACTATGGTTATTTGATTCTGTGTCTTACGTTTCTACCCAAAAATTGAGCAGCAAAGCACAAAGTTACCTGCTTGAGAACTGGTAACAGTAATTGCCCCTGAGGAAAAAAAGATGACACAGGCTTAGAAGCCAGATATGGTTTGTTTCCTAACTTTGCCATTAACTACTTACATGTGATCTTAGGCAAGTTACTTTCCCTGCCCAATGTTCTTTCCACAGATTCCTTTTTTTAAATTATTTTTAAAATTTTATTTATTCATTCATTTATTTTAATTTGATCAGAGAGAGAGAGAGAGAGAGAGAGAGAGGAAGCAAGAAAGCAAGCCACCAGGTCCAGGACTCAAGCCATAGTCAGCCATGTGGGAGTGTCCAGCGCCTTAACACCACACTACCTGCTGGTCCCATGTTCTTTCCACAAATTCTAAATGCAAAGGGGAAATACCAGCTGATCAGTAGTTATGTAAGAAGGAGAGAATGTCTTCAAGGCAAAGGTCTTGTCCAGTGACACAGTAACACCACTGCCGCTGCTGGAGTTCTCAGTGCATCCACCACCTTCAAAATCATATCTGTTCATTATGGGGTATTGGGGGTAGGCAGCGTGCTTTAATAATAGTCTCTGGCTCAGGAAATAAAATTCAGGAGGAAAATAGAATGAACTTTGGCAATCTGTCTTGTCAAAACCAGAAAACAGTATCCAATATTTTTGTTTCCCATACCAGGGATATTAACAGATGCTTACTTCATATTGCAATTGATGGCCAGCAGAAAGGTCACCAGAATGAGCATAATGCTTCTCCCTCAGAGCTGTGATTATCTTAATAGTAAACACTTGCCAAGAAAGCCATCCCTAAGAGTGCAAGTCTCTCTAGATGCGGGAAAACGGCTCTCGTGTCATGATTAACAGCTTCCTAGAAGCAGTACAGCTAATGTGCAAGCCACTGTAAATAGCTTTCACCTCCCTCTTTCCCCACCACTCCATCCATTTCAGAAGAAAACCTTATCTATTAGCACAAGCCCATGATATATGAAGATGCTTCTTGAACCATCACTCCGAGAGTGGCAGCTATGGGGTGGCAACTGTTTAAAGACAGCTAGTCCTTAGAAACACCAACCACAGCCACGAAACATGATCTCCCCAACCAGAAAGCTAGTGAGCCCAAGCAAAACCCTATAGCCTTGACCTCAGATCATGACACAACCCAGCTTAAAATCTCCCAGTGGTGTTATCTGACACTGAGGACAAAATCTATGCACGCCAGGACTTCTCTCCTGTCTATCCTGACCCTACCCAAGCCTGAAATTTAGACTCTCTGAGAACAAGGGCCCTCATTATTATTACGTTTGCTTTCCATAGATGCTGGCCCAATGTCTCACATAAGTAGGAGCTTGGTAAAGACTTCAGGAATAAGTGAATGCACTGAGCTTGCAACCTGCTTCTGCCACCATCCAGCCATTGAATTTTGGGTCAGTCATTCCACCTATGCAGCCTTTAGTATCCACAATGAGAAATGAGTTTTGACTGGCTAATTAAAGTCTCCTTTATATATTGTAGGGAACAGTGAGAAGCTACTAAATTAAGACTTAAACTTTCAGTTATAGGGGGATTAAAAAGCATTATAGTTTACCAAAATGAAGAACTATTCTGTGAACACAAAAGTAAATCAATGAAGAAAAATGTAAGAATGTGTTCTATGGAAAAACCACACATTCTGTCTTTCTCACAGGCACACATTACACAAAAAAATGAGTATGCTGACTAGAAATACATAACATGTGTAGGTAACAATTAAATATGAGAAGAGCACAATGCAATTACGGGTGACCTTTTTCCTTACAGTGCAAAGAAAACACAACTTTCTGCCACAACAAAATTACAATTAAATAATTAAATGTTTAAAACAGCATATTAAAAGAAAAAGGCCTTTGAAAGGTCAGAGTCTAAAAGTACTAGAGCCACACAAATGGGAAACAAAACCACCATTTATTGGACATCTCTTCTATGCTGGCACTAAACTATATTAAGACATATATTAAATATGCTTATATTTACAATTCTACAGCCCAGATATTATTGTTCATATTATATGGACAAAAAATTAGACCAGTTATTTTACCTCCCAAAATGTTTCCTCAAATGTCGCCTTTTTAGTTTTGACTAAGCACTTGTTTATTTTATTCACGGTAGAGAGCACGTGCATGTGTGAGAAAGAGAGCCTAAGAAAAAGGGAGGGAGAAAGAACCACCTTCAATAGGGTTTGGTCATGCAGAGATCCCCTTTGTCCAGCCTCCAGCTCATCAGGATCTCGGGCATCAGGTGCCTATCAGGCGTGTTTTCAGGTCACCAGGTCGAAGATCCAAACCCAGTCAGCCATGTAGCTTCCAACATTGCTGTTCAGTCTGCTTCCAACATGTTGCCTATTTTTTTATTATTATTTTATGCTAGTGAGTGTGTGTACTCATGGAAGGGAGACAGAGAAGAAAGTAAGAAAACATTCCCCGTAGGGAAGGCCACATGAAATTCTTTCTCTTCTATTTCTCCTCTTGCGATTCTGGGCATGCATACCAATGCACCAGAGTGTTTTCTAAGACACTGGATCCAAGACTCGAACCACACAGTCAGCCATGCAGGTCTAGCCACTTGTTATAACTGCAGTGCCACCAGCTGGCCCAGTTCTGCCTTCTTGATATGGCGCACTTTAGCCAACCTACTTAAAATTGCAAACCTAGGGACCAGCAGATGGTATAATGGTTATATCGCTGAATTCCCACATAGTTGACCATGGTTCAAGTACCAGACCCAGTGGCTTAAAACTCACACAGGGTGCATGGGTGTACATGCTCAAAATCCAGAGAGGAGACTAAAGAAGAAGGGACTGTGGTGTGGTCATGTCCTAGGGGGTGATTTCTCACCTTCTATCTCTCTGTCTCTTACTGTCTTTCTGGTGGTCACATGCACCTTAGAGCAAAAATCTCTCTTTTAAAAAATTGCAGACCTAACTCCATGCCTGAATTCTCTGTTCATCTTCCTGCCTTAGTATTCTCCATGGCACCCATCACTATACTATATACCTTACTAATTTTTAATCACCCCCCCACACACACACACACACACACTAGAATATAAATCCTGCAGGGCAGAGATTTTTTTCTTCCTGCTTTACTCTATTCTGGAACCCCAGCACCCAGTAGAGGACCTGGCACAGAGTAAATATTAATAAATATTTGATAAATGAGTAAGTTTTCACAAGGTGGTTCTGAAAGTCTGTTCAACTCAAAGCCTTTCCACCCTCTGCACTAGAACTCCTGAGCATAAACGTATACATGCATAGAGGCTGATCAGGAAAGATGATAAAGTTAGACCAGTGGCATGAAACTAGAGTGAGAATAAAGATGATTAACTTCTGCCTGGGAAAAGAAAATCACATTTCTTTTAAAACATACACAAAGTGTGTTTATTGTCCTTTGTTACTTGTTATCTTCTAGTTCTTATAAAATACAATAAGCAAAATTATAGTACAGTGTCTTGTGATTTTGAGTTTGAGAGGACAGACAACTATACTGACCTGCATGATGAACTGAGACTGATCCACTGCAGGGTCCCCCACCCAAGGAATCTCCTGAGTTCTCAAGCTGTATGTCATAGGAGGCTAACAAATGAACCGGGAAATTTTTGAAAAGCAGAACAGAAATTTTAGCAGCCTCATAATATTGAGGAGATAGTATTAGAGTTCAGATCCCACATGGAGACAAAGACTAGTAAACACCCCAGACTCTTACATGGAACACATGGGAGACTGCGTCTTAAGAGTGAAGGTGAAAGGAGCCTGCAGGTAGCATAGTGGTTAAGGCGCTTGACTCCCACATGACCGACTACAGTTCGAGTCCCAGATCTGGCAGTTTACGTTCTCACTTTCCCTCTCTGTCTCTGATCAAATTAAAAAATAGTAATGATGAATAAAATTCTTGGGGGAAAAAAAAAAAAGAGTGAAGGTGAACAAGATAGTCTGAACCTTACCAGAACTGTACTTCTATCTCAGAAGATAAACCACTTTTCTGTCTGTGAATATCTGGACATGAAGTCTTTTTTAAAGGCTATATTCTTGATCTTAATTTTTAAGAAACATTTTAAAAAGAACTTCTTAATCTGAAAGACAGACTCTACACAATGTAATTCTATCTCTAAGTTGGCTTCTGGGGGTGGCACAAGGAATCCCATATTCTTTTCAGGCATACCTAACCATCATCTTTTATAACAGTGAGAACTCAGCACATTTCCAGAGAACATTTAAGACTGCATACTGGGAGCTCTAGTTCACAGCATTAGTTTAATTTCTTCAGCAAGAATTAAGAGAATGTTCTTCTAACAATAAAGAGTAGATAATATTTTTAAAAATGCTTACCTTTGAATACTTCTGTAACTCCTCATCATCTACAATCTGTGTGTCCAAAGTAGCAACCTAAGTTTACAAAAAAAATATTTCTGGTATTTGTAAAAGCATAATTTTATTTCTTCCTTGATTTTCTGAAAACATCTGTAAAACCTATATATTGATAATTCCAACTAACCCACATCTCAATACTTTCCTGTATTTCCCAAATCCCAAAGTATGACAAAAAATGTCAAGAGCATATTTGCTTTTTGGTTATTTTTCTCCATATTGATCTTTTTCCCTAAATTATCCAAAAGTTGAACAAAAGGTGATAGGCAAATCTACTATTATTAAAAATCCATGATCTCTAACATTTTAATATAATCCTCCATTATATTGAGTCCATAAAAATTTTACTCTTTTGGCAAATCCATGAGTATGGCCACTCTTTCTTTAAAATTTGGGGCTTAGGACAAAATGTTTAAGGTCAGTAATGTCAGCTGAGTTTGGGAAAACTAGCCTCTAGCTTTCCACAAGCTCAAACAATTTCAGCAGAAGTAGCTGGCAGAGACACAGCAGAAGAACCTGGCCTCCAGTGCAAAGCTCATGGAATACTTCAGGCTTTTAATCCTGACCTAAAACTACTGTTCTAAGCCTCCATGGTGGACATCCACTGAAGTGAATTCCTTGCAAGCAAAATGACTTTGCTGATGATGTGAATCTGTAAGTCGTTCATCAAACGCAATGCACCTAGAGGGAGGAGCCAAGTTAAACCATGCTCCAACTAAAGCTCTAACATGACTACACTTTAGATAAGTAGCTCCTGGAAGGAAGTGAAATATGAGGCGTGGACATCCATGCATTCATTCCATCATTCATTCATTCATTCAATCATTCATTCATTGATCCATCTTGCCTGGTGTGGCCTATTTGCTGCTTCTCATTCCTTGGAAACACAAGCTACAACTTTGAAAGAATAAGCACCCTTACATTTTTTATTTCACATTCTATCTCCTCATTCTATCCCCTCTGTTATGACCTCTCCATATGATAAATCAAATTTAAAAATACAGTTATAAGGAACGTATCATTTGAGCAAAAAAAGGAGCCCATTAGAAAACTGGCCATTTGTCAGTACTGGTATACCACATTACTTTGAATATCAAACCCCTAAGGATTGTAGAAAAGGTCATCTGCAAGGTGTTAGCCTGATGACAATAACTGAAATCCATGAAGCAGAGAAACAGTAATTCATGAGAACTCACATGCGAGCACAAAATTGGCAAGAAGAGAGAGTATGAACTGTTTTGAGTCATCTTAATGACACCAGAAACTTTCTGACAATTGATAATAGCTAGATATTGTAAATTAAAAAGAGAAAACAACAACAAAAACTCCAACAAGTCAATAAGTACAGATGATAAACATATGTAAGAAATGTAAGTGACAACAAAAATGTAAAAGAATATTTTAACACTAATCCATTTGGTGAACACGATAAAGGTTTTTCTAAGCAAAGCTTTCTGCTTTCATGTAGATTTCTATGGGGAAATGTAATCAATTTCTTACTTGATGAATCTAATAACAGGTGAAAGGAAGTCTAATGGACCACTGGCACGATAAACTTAGACCTACTCTCAATTCCTTCCTGTTCTTCCAAATACATCTGATAATCATTCCTTCATTTTTCTCATAAAACTGTAAGTTTTTTTGGTGAAACATAGGACTAATATCCACAGACCTTTCAGTGTACAATAAAACAAACAGATCATAAAAGCAATCATAAAAATGCCAGCAATTTTAAGCCGCTGATTCAGGTTATAAAATGAAAGGCAAGTCCTTTCTCTCCCAACATTGTTCTGCCTCTGGTGACTTAAATGGTTTCAACATGAACTGAGTGTCTGCTAATTGTAACTGAAGCTTATGTGCAGTTCTTAATTGTTCTTGCAATTGAAAATGCTTTAAAAAAATCAATGGATTGATTCAATAGGGAAGAAAGACAGGAAGAAAAAAATAAAGGCAGGTTGGCTATGCATTGACTCTCTCATTTCCTTACATTGTAGTGTTAGGAGTTTGACATAAAATGTGACATGAGTGTTTTTTATTAGAAGATTTTAGCATACCATTACTTCATAATCAGGGCCCAATAGGTTTTCCCATCTGGATTTCAGTTCTCTTTCTGGAGAGCCTGGGATTCTTTCTGGATATTAAAAAAAGAAAAGAAAAGAAAAAGAAAAAAGAAAGTTGAAGCTACTGTGAGCCAAACACACTTAACCACTAAATTCTTCAACAACAGACTATTTCAGTAAGTGAAGGGGAAATGAATAAAAAGGAAAATGCTTTAATTTAGGCTTACTAAATATAGATGACTTATAAGACTAATATAAAATATAAAGACCAGCTGTAACCAAATTATAAGGGGCTTTTATTTTTATTTATTTATTTACTTATTTATTTTGGAGAGTTTTTTTTCTTATTGGGCACGTGCACTCACCAGAAAGACAGAGAGAGACAGAGAGACAGAAAGCGAGAAATCACTCCCCAGGAGGGATGGCCACGCCACAATCCCTTCTCCTCCATTCTCCTCTCGGGATCTTGAGCACGCACGCACATGTGCCCGGAGTGAGTTTAAGCCACCGGGTACGGAACTCAAACGGCGGTCAACTACATGGGAGTCCAGCGACATAGCCATTACACTAATTGCTGGTCCTCCAAGGGACTTTTATTTTTAAGGAATATTTTAAAGGGAAGAGAGGGCCATCAAGTGGCATAGTGGTCAAGGCACTGGACTCTCACATGGCTGACTGTGGTTCCTGGATGTGGTAGCTAAAAATATCACATTGGGCACGTGTGCGTTCATGCTCAAGATCACAAGAGGAGAATGGAGAAGGGATTGTGTCATGATCATCCCAACCGTGTGTGTGGGTGGGGGAGATGGTTTCTCATTTTCTCTCTCTCTGTCTCTCTCCAGTGAGTGCACATGCTCTATGGCAAAAACCTAAAATAAATAAATAAATAAATAGAAGAGGAAATAATCAGATATAACTGAACTCTGAATTATACACTTTATATATAAACATACTACAGCTTGGGACCAGCAGTTAGTGTAATGGCTTTGTCGCTGGACTCCCACATAGTCGACCGCGGTTCGCATCCCGGACCCGGTAGCTTAAAACTCACACAGGGTGCGTGTGCGTGCGTGCCCAAGATCCCGAGAGGAGAACGGAAGAGAAGGGATTGTGGCGTGGCCATTCCCCCTGGGGGGTGATTTCTTGCTTTCTGTCTCCCTGTCTCTGTCTTTCTGGCATGTGCATGCGCCCTATAGCTAAAAACTTCTCCAAATAAACAAAAGAAAAAAAAAAAAACATACTACAGCTTAAAAGTAAAATACATCTGGCTTTGCTTTATAATATGTTAGGGCATACAAGGATTTAATTTAAATGCTAATCACTACAAAGTACTATCATTCCACCTACTTACTGGAAAACTAAAACCTTATCAAGATATCTGTATTATTAATAAAATACATCAACACGGTACAATTAGGCTTTTCACATAGGCAGAAACAAAGGCTTATCTGGTTTAATTCAACCAGAATCACATGAGCTTTAACATAATATAAACTTTGGTTTTATACCAAACTTTGTCACTAATTAGTTATTAGGATGTTTATATCTTTATGACTTGCTGGAGTGTAATGTTGCCTTTGTTGCATTAGCAAGATAATTTTTTTAAAGAGGTTTCTGCCATAGGGCATGTGCAATTGCTGGAGAGAGAGCCAGAGAGGGGAAACATGTGGTCTGGTCACACCACAATCTCTTCTTCATTCTCCTCCTGGGATTTTGGGCATGTGTGCACATACTCCAGATAAGAGTTTCAAGTCTCTGGGTCTGGAACTCAAACCATAGTCAACCTTGTGGGAGTTCAGCAACGTAACTGCTATGCCATCTGCTGGCCCCCTTAGTAAGGTCATTTTAAAAAGCTAAGAAAAATTGGGCCAGCCAATGATGTGGCGGGGGTGTACAGCTGGATCTCACATGGCTGACTGTGCAGTCTGAGTCTCAGACCAGGTAGCATAAGAAACATGCCAGGCACATGAGCTTCACAGCATATCTAAAATCCTGAAAAGAGAAAGAAGGAGAAGGGACTGTGGTGTAGACATTCCCCCCAGGTGGGTGCTTCTCTCTCTCACTCTCTCTGGAGCATATGTCCTCTACAGCAAGTTAAAAAAAAAAAAGCAAAAGACAGTGTCTTGCTTGTCCTCCACATGCTCTTAGCCAGAAGCTCAGTACACAGTTCATAGTCTGAATAACGTCTAATAGTAAAAGGCAAAGTACTGAAACGATCATTTCAACTTATACCAATAGCAGCAGAAAATGAACAAATGTCCACCTTTTTTATGTTTAAGTGAAACTTTCTTGGGCTGGCTCCATGATGTGGTGGTTAAAGTCACTAAATCCCATCTGGTTGACCCTATGATTCAAATCCTGAACTTAGCAGCCTAAAAAACACAGGCACATGTGCATGCATGGCTCAAACCCTGACAAAGAACTGTGGTGTGGCCAATCCCCATGAGGGGGTGTGCTTTCTTCCTTCCCTCTCTCTGTCTCTCTGACAAGTCCATGCATGCTCTGACGCTTTTAAAAAACAAAAACCCTTAACTTTGTCAGAAGACGGGACAAGTCACAGAACACTTATCACAATTGACAAAACCATTTGCCTAAAATCAAATGTAACTTGCAATTTCAGCTCTTTTAGTCTTCAGAAGGGATAGCCAATTGTGCATGCATATAAGCTTAATTACATAATACAAATCATTAAGTAGAACAGCTAACCTCAGAAATCAGAGACGAAATCTAATGAGCACTAAAGAACTTAAATTACTAGATGTACAAAGGACCAACCAGGAAATAATTGCACTAGCTATGTGCTAGAATGAATTTAGGGGACGACTTACGAAAGATCCTATTAAATGTAAAATATCAAATTCACGTGGACTTTCCACCTTTATGCCTACTCCTGTCAACATTTCCTTAGAAAATTACAATGAAGAGTTCTAACATCTTAGCTACAAATTTCTTGTAGGCAGCAGGCTCTTATCTGGTAAGTGGATCTAAACAAAATTTGCAACACATTGGGTCAATTTTAAGTTTAAAAATGTGGCAGTATTCAGATGACAGTTCATATACATGTATAAAATATGGACATTTCACTGACAATTCTCTTAACTATATTTTTGCTTTTTGGTTGTACGATGAAAACAGTCATGAATTACTTTTGTTTATTTTTTAGATTTTTGCCATAGGGTGCATGTGCTCACTGGAGAGAGACAGAGAGAGAAGGAAAGTGAGAAATAACCCTCTCAGGGAATATGGCCATACCACAATCTCTTCTCCTTTATCCTCCTCTTGAGATTTTAGGCATGCATACACACATGCCCTGCGTGCTCTTCAAGCACTTCCACATGGTCGACTGTGGTTTGAGTCTTAGGCTTGGCAGCTTGCTTTCTTACTTTCCTTCTCTCTCTCACTCTGTCCCTCTCTGGTCAAGTTAAAATAAATAAATAAATAGACAAACAGAGTTATATAAATTCTTAAAAAATAAATTAATAAATAAAGTACAAAAGCCCAAGTGCTAAAAGAGTTTAATTGAAGTTCAGCAGCTCAATAAATGCTAAGCTATACAAAATGATTTTTTAAATCAATAACATAATGATTTAAAATAACTACTCCAGAACTTGGTGGAGAAGGGCAAGATGGCTGAGTAGGGACAGCCATCATGGCATCTCTCCAGAAGAAAAGCCAAAAAAGGTTGGATAGACAGCTGCACCTGAAGCAGAGCAGTGAGGTCAAGACCCACAGTCTACAAGAGCAGGA